AGTTCTTTTATTACTGCAATATTTTCTGAACAGGTTCACTGGGATGAAAGAAGACATTTGCTGAATATTTCATTTGATCTGTAAACCAAGTTATAAAGCAAATTTGATGACTGGAAAAATTGTTTATGTATAGCTACATTAAACTGAATAAGTGCTTCAGGCATAAAGGAAGAAATGAGAGGTCTGGTGCTCATTTGGCTCTAGGCTGAGACATAGTAATTGAATGGTGCCTTGTGTGAAGCAAACACATTGTCATTGTGTAATTGGGGGTTATCATTTACCGCTGGATTGAAAAATATTCATTATACTTGAGCAGGCAGACAACCAAGGAGGGCTTCAATTGACTCACGGGGGGATGGGTTGCCCAGTCGTCTAAGGCGCCGTGATTTGCTGTGCAGAGTTGCGTCCCTTCGGACGCGCCAGAAACCTATGATTGTGGGTTCGAATCCTGATTCGCCCCGATTATGTTTCTAGGTTTGTGGTCGTGGGTTTCACCGAAGTGGTAAACGTCTGAAACCTGCATCACTTCGGGCTTTCCTCCCACATTAAGCTGACACACCGCGATATAACTGTAATACTGTTAAAAGCGGCGTTAAACCCAACTCACTCTCACTCACTCAATTGACTCACACCAATCTTGTTTGGGATTCCAGGCAGTTGTTTCAAAAGCCACACCATCCACATATAATAAGTCACACACAACCAAATGTTTTCCCATAGACTTCTTTGGAGAAGTTATGTTTTTTAAGAAAAATCATGTGGCATTCAACAGCCATTGTGTCTACATGTATGCTGAGCCTGGCCTTAAAGCTGCAATAAAATCACAACTCAGCCAGCTCCTTTTCCCAGTACAGGAAGCTAAACACACCAATCCCAGTTTTCTGCACCACATGTCACCTGTGTGAAAATATCTTTGATCATCAGGTTAAAAAGACTAAATGTTGGAAAACATGGTCAGTTTTAATTATTGGGTGAATGTACTTTTAAAAAACATATGCATCTCAAACACACCATCCAATTACAGCTGCCAGGTTTCCTTCTGCATGCTCTATCTACAACTGATTTGGATGTACAGCATGTCCATGGCAACAGCAATTATTCTTGTCAATACAACCTTCATACCAAACTCTCCTCTGAAACCATAAACATATGACCCGTGAAGATTTGGGGTAGAATAGGTCTTCAGCAACCCATGCTTGCCGTAAAAGGCGACTATGCTTGTCGTAAGAGGTGACTAACGGGATCGGGTGGTCAGGCTCGCTGACTTGGTTGATGCATGTCATTGCATCCCAATTGCGTGGATAGATGCTCATGATGTCAATCACTGGATTGTCTGGTCCAGACTCCATTATTTACAGACCACCCTCATATAGCTGGAATATTGCTGAGCGCGGCGTTAAACAAACAAACCAAACCAACTTATTGTTGATGTCTTAAAAGATCATTCTATGAATGAATACCCCTTAAGCATTAACATTTTAATTTGTCTACAGTGAAGTAAGCTTATGATAACTCGGCAGATCTCTGATATACAGTGGACATATTTACTTCATATACAAAGCAGAAACTTCAAACTTAACCAATGAGTTATGATATTTTTCTCTGACTTTGACTGAGTCTTTGCAAGACCTACAAGATGACATTCAGACTCACTGGTAGATGTAGTTAGGAGATTATGTGTGTTTTCGGATTTGTTGGGTTTCTTTAGTATTCGACATCCGGCGGTTTCATTTGTAATTTTCAGATGTTAAATTTACTGAGCATCAAATACTTATTCTACCATGAATTTGAAAAACACACAATTTTGATTGGTCAATCAGGGGTATCAAATCACAATAAACCCCCTCTGATTGAAAAAGATGATTTGAGGGCCACATCATTGTGGAAGCTAATGTTTTTGAATACCTCTTTTACATTGTCACTAGAAATATTGAAGTAATATGTACAATTATAGGCTACAAAATGCAAAGTTGCGGCTACCACAATATTCAAAGGATGTGTGGCAATACATTTTGATCAGAAAACACAATAAAAACTCTACAAAGAGAATTTCAGGTTTTGAAGACAACACTGAACTTGGAATCTGGTGCTTCTCTATATACTACTGTGACGTCATATCTTTTGTGGAGCAATGAGCAATATGACGTCATAATAGTGACGTGAGGTGTAGAACAAAACCTAAATTTGCAAGGCTTGCTTAGTTTTCTTTAAAGGTGCCCACCTCATGTTAGCTAACGAAGTTGCCATGCTACATGCTTTCAGTGCCTGTCATGAGTTTGAGTGAAGTATTACAGTCCAAACAAACTGCTTGAGCATATTGAGCGCCATATTTTGTTTAAAGGCTTTTGTCCGTGATTCCATATTTTCTGATCAACAACCAACTCAAAACACTGGACTCAACCTATGCCGCTTCACTCACTGTATTTGCTTCCACCAAAGAATTTGTGTTTTATTGAATCGTGGTAAAATGGAGATAAACTAATGATAAACATACTGTGTTTTCAATGTAGAGCAAGGTAACCTGTTGATTTCACAGCGCTAAATTGAATTTGGAACCGAACACGCAATGCTGTACATTGAAAACATAGTATGTTTATCTCCTAACTAACACCCACAAGTCTTATTACATGATGTTGATCGATACTGGAAAATGCAAAAGTCTAAATCTCTGTGTGTTCGCAACCTCCCATGGTTATGAGTTGCAATGAATTACATCATGAAACAACGGATGATGTCTCATGCTTCCAACTTGCCTGGTTAGCCGAATGAGGAAAAAAATGAAGTTGTATTGATAAATATTGTTCAATCATACTATTGAATGTGCTATTCCTTTCGCCCAGCCAAGTGGCATATTTTTTCAAATTTAGGATTGATGGACTTTGGATTCCGTTTAACAACATATGTTTAACAATCTGATTTCAGCACACACTCTATAAAACATAACAATAAAACTTAAAAGTAGATTGCCAAATCTGAAGTAGTAGTACCAGTTCGCAAGAGACAAGTTTGACTTTGTCATACCAGTGGCTGCTAAGACAGGACCGCCTAGTTGTCTAGTGGTAGAGCGTCCCTCTGGAGAGTGGAAGGTCCTGGATTCGATCCCCAGCTGCATCATACCAAAAAACGTAAAAAAGAGGGTACTTGTTGTTACCCTGTCTGGTGCGCAGCATTAAGGGGCTAAAGCAAGGACTGGTCAGCTCAAAGTCAGTATACTGTGTCTGAGAGGGGCAAAAAACTGCGGCATGGTATCTCAGTGAGCAAGCTCTATAAATCGGTGCCAGTCTAGACAAGCACGCACGCACGCATGCACGCATGCACGCACGCACACACACACACCTCTCTCTCTCTCACACACACACGTACGACGCTGTGTGAGTGTTTGGATGCGCCGTTAAACCCAATTTTACCAGATGTTTTGCTTTTATAAAGTACCCAGGGAAGGTGTAACATCAAACTTGCTCCACAAATGACATGAACATTGTCAAGCTGTTGTTAGTTTCATTGCCTAAAAATTGACTCAATATGGTCTTTAGGCACATGATGGAATATGTCCCCTTACTGTTGAGCCATGACATTACTGTTGACATACATCTTGTATCAGGCAAACTGTATAATTGCACCAGGTACAAAGATGTCCCTTATATTGGTTAAGTTGGATGTATGAAAAGCCAACAGTTGCATTATTTTAATAAGTAACAAATATAATGAGAAATGTTTGAACAAAAAAAACACAATAAAACTCTAGATAGGTAGCGATGAGTTGTCTGGACTGGGAGAATTACCTCCCTTTCACCATGCTGGTTCTCAGAGCTTGTCAGAGCAGTCCAGGGAACGGTATGCAGATATCAGCTCGTGTCTTGGCATCATGTCAAGCCATGTAAAATGTACCCTTGCCATATTTATTATATGTCTAATATGAATGCTGGACTTCAAGGAGTCTTGTAAATTACACTTGATAAATTACTGCCATGTACACCAGGTGTGCAGCACGTTTCATTTTAAACCATAAGATAATTCCCAATCTCTTGCTCCCATTCCTCACAAAGGCGCAACAAGAGAATTATTATTAATACATTAGCTTGACTGTTTCTTCATCATTTTAGCTGTTTGTATGTGACGTCATCCTAATGTTTGTTCAGTGTTTGGATTCTCGCTTTCATTAATGAATTATATTTTGTCAATGTGACTGAATCTGTTATGACAGCTACTAAAACTACCCAACCTTTGTGAGACACTGAGATATTTCATACTGCTTAATGTCTATCCTTATTAAAAGTTGACCCGTGAAGATCCGGGATAGACCAGGTCTTCAGCAGCCCATGCTTGCCGTAAAAGGCGACTGTGCTTGTCATAAGAGGCGACTAACAGGATCGGGTGGTCAGGCTAGCTGACTTGGTTGATGCATGTCATCGATCCCAATATGGATCCATTGTCATAATGTCAATCACTGGATTGTCTGGTCCAGACTCGACCACGGTCATATAGCTGGAATGTTGCCGATTGCGGCGTAAAACAACAAATAACCTAACCTCACCTCACCTCACCTCACCTCACCTCACCTCACCTCACCTCACCTCACCTCACCTCACCTCACCTCACCTATCAAAAGTTGAGTAGCAGATGTATGCTGTTGTTTCGATAAGAATTATCAACTCCATTGCATATGACTGCTTGGGACATGTGGATGGCTAAGGTCCCTACAAAATGGCTGTGTGGAGTTGCTTCCTTGAGGCCTGCCAGAAACCTATAATCATGAGTTTGAATCCTGGTTTGCCTTGATTGTGTTTCCAGGTTTGTTAGCACCATACCCTTGCTTGTGGTATGCATATAAGACTTTCATCACTTTAAGCTTCCTTCCCACATCAAACTGACATGAAACCACCCACCTACCCACATACACACTCACCCACACCCATAGCCATACACCCACCCACCCACATATCCACTATCCTCTTCTAGATGTGTGTAACAATAACTAGACGTGTTGCTTTTCCTTTCAGCTGTACTATAATGTCTAGTAGTAGGAGTGCTGGAAGCCGGGAATCACCTTGTGCCAGTAGTAGTGGTTCGGTGTTAGTGCCTCCCTATGACTCTGCTGTGAAACACCGACTAGCTGTCCATCTCTCCGGAGGATCCTTCCAGACCACGGCTCCTGCTGTACCCCCCGGTAAGTGCGGCTTTCGTTGCAGTCTTATACCGTAAAGGTATATTTATACCACTGAAAAGAAGTTAAGGACCACCTGTCTTTTTATATTAACTATAGTAATACAGAGATTTATCTAGGATTTCCAAACTCAGTGCCCTTGGCAGGCAGATTGGGAACATTTTGTGATGTTGTTCAAAATTGGATATTTTTTAATGTATTATTTTTGTAAATTCTGAGGAATTCGGCAATTTTTAATTACTGACATTTACTGAAGATTTTGGGCCGAATTTATGTCTCTGAGCAGGCATCGGTGGATACAGAGGGGGAGTGCGGGGGTGCGCACTCCCCGTTTTTATTTCGAAAAAAATCTTTATTTCTGTATAAATTACCACCAAAGACAATAAATAGATCTTAATATTGCAACCCCCACCCCCCTTTTAAATAAAGCTGTATCCGCCCATGGCAGGTCTTGATAAATCCCTGTGATATGAAAGAATTGTGTGGTCCTTATTTTCTCTTGATTCTTGCTTTTCGTGAACCACCTGCCCCCAAAATTACCCACCTCTGATATTTTAATTTATTTTTTCTGACGCTCAGGGTAAAATGCCATTGTCAGCATGGCCTCATGCCCACCTCTTCATACCTAGCGATGCAGGGTCAAGGCCAGAAGAGGTCACAGGGTAGACACCTGGTAGATGGAAGATGTGAATCGAGTTTACATTTATCAATTTGTTACCTACCAAATAAATAAGAAATTAAAATCCTCCCTCCATCCCTACTCTACTGTTAGTTTGACATTCTAGAAGTTTGTGAATAAATAATAAGAACATATAACTTATGGATAACAACTTCTGGTTTATTGCATGTAGCGAGCCATCACTCACTCCAGCTTGATAACATAAGAATCTACATCGAAATATCGCAATATAGAATAAACCAGACATTGTTATCCATGAAGTTGTACATTCTAAGTACCTCCCTACCCACTCAAGTTTGAAAACCCCCCATGAGAAACAAGATTATTTCTTTAACAAACCTTATGTCAGTGTTTTATACACCAGTATGATGGTATTACTGTTATCACAATGTTTGATATGGTGATACTTTGTACATTGCAATACCTTTTCACATGCATGATGTGATGCTTTAGGAGATATTTTTTCCATGAGGTGAGTGTCATGTGACTTGGGACCAGGTTCACAAAGTGACTTTTACATTGTGGGATATACAGGTTCGCCTAGCCTATGAAAACTTGGGGTCAGCATGAGTCACTGCATATTTCTTTGAGAGCCAGGAGCACAATTTTGAATGTCCTGAGTTTTAGTCTACAAAATATTGTGAACAGAAAATGTGAGGGTTGATTGATTGTTCTCAGCCTCACAGTGCGGAATCGCTTAACAGTGACATCTTTTGCATGTTCCTAAAGTTTGTCCTTTTTAAAAAAAAGACCCCTGCTTATTTTACTGACTTGTCACAGTGAAACAGTTTTCTCGATTGACTCCAGTTTGTGTGGATATACCTCTATGGCATCATGAAGTGTCCACCACCAATGATTTTCACTATTACGCAGTTCCTTCTATGTGAGGCTTGAACTTAACTTAACTGATTTTATTTTCGCCTTGAAGAGTTTAGAAAGAAACGCAAGCCGTGTTCACCATCATCAACATTCTGTGGATAAAATACACAATTTCTGTATTAGTTCCTTGGATGTTTTCATGAGAACTAGTACTGACTGATAAAAACTGGCTGTGTCAAATTTATCACACACAAAAATACACATTTCACTGCATTTTGGTGTGACAAATACTCAGAATTCCTGTGTCATGTGCCATGGCTGTAGTGTTTTCACCGCATTCCTTCTGGAGCCTCTGTATGGAGACACTACCTGGCCTGACACCAGAAAGCCCCCACCCTACCCCCTCGGTGATGTATTCAGGAGCCTATGTGTGGAGACACTACCTGGCCTGACACCAGCACCCCCCCACCCCACCCCACCCCACCCCACCCCCTCAGTGATGTATTCAGGAGCCTATGTGTGGAGACACTACCTGGCCTGACACCAGCACCCCCCCCACCCCACCCCACCCCCTCGGTGATGTATTCAGGAGCCTATGTGTGGAGACACTACCTGGCCTGACACCAGCACCCCCCCACCCCACCCCCTCGGTGATGTATTCAGGAGCCTATGTGTGGAGACACTACCTGGCCTGACACCAGCACCCCCCCCACCCCACCCCCTCGGTGATGTATTCAGGAGCCTATGTGTGGAGACACTACCTGGCCTGACACCAGCACCCCCCCACCCCACCCCCTCAGTGATGTATTCAGGAGCCTATGTGTGGAGACACTACCTGGCCTGACACCAGCACCCCCCCCCCCCCCCCCCCCCCCCACCCCACCCCACCCCCTCGGTGATGTATTCAGGAGCCTATGTGTGGAGACACTATCTGGCCTGACACCAGCACCCCCCCACCCCACCCCACCCCCTCGTTGATGTATTCAGGAGCTGTGCTTGGTGTGTGAACTGCACTCTTCCTGTAGTACATTCTGCACACATTCTGCACACATTCTGCGGAGAGTTGCCCCTGTTGTATTCGGGGAATTGTGTGAGGTCTTGGCATGATGTATTGTCACTCTCAGAACTGATAATAATAATAAGGAATGGGGCGACAGGGTAGCCTTGTGGTTGTCATGCAGAATGCCTGGGTTCTGTTCACGTGGGTACAGTGTGTGAAGCCCTTTTCTCGTGTCCCCTGCCGGGTTCTTGCTGGAATATTACTGAATTAAGAAATGAATGACGAGTTGTATATCGTCTAAAAAACACAACAGAGAGTATAAGCCATGAGGGGTGCAACCCCGAGTGGTTTATTCTCCCTGCAGTGTTTTATTGTACGATAAACAACGATCACAAGTCGTTTTTTCTTACATGAGACATCAACAGCCTATTTAAGGATGATGATAAAATGTACCCCTATTTAAATAATGATGGCTCCCTCAATAGAATCTGTCCTTGGCAATGGTGTACAAGTCCATTTTATGCACAGGTGGGTATTTCCCACATTCTCACAATCCTCAGTCCTCACATTGAGATTGTCATACCTCTCCCGCTTTTGGATGCTATCGTTCGACCATCGCGTTTACCTGGGTTGCTTAGCTACATCTATGGGGAACAACTCACTTGACACTCCCCTCTCAAAAATAACATCCAATATACCACGCCTTAAAGTTGCGAGCGCTTGTTCGAATCTCCAGAAATGTTCTTCATTGTTCTTTGCTATTTCGTGTTGCTTGCTTATCCATATTTTGGCATAAGACTATACTTATTGACTCTAAATAAATGTCTGCAACTCGGCTTATAAATGATATTGAAACCTGTTTATTGAAAGTAAATTTGGGTCTTTCAGCCGTGAAAAGTCTGATCTTTGCCTTGAAAAGGTATTAAATGTGGCGGCTCAAGATGTGTATGAACCACATGTAGATAAGGGAGCAACCATTTGATTTGATCTCCAGGGGAGATATTTTGGTTTGAGATCAGCATTTTTTTTTCTAAACGTTTAGAAGCTAAGTTATTTTTTCGAAAATAAGAAGGTGCTCCCCCCCCCAAAAGAAAAGCAAAAAAAAGAAGCATCAAATGGTTGCCTTTTAAGGGTGCCAGGTAGATTGGGTGGGTGGTTGAGTCCTTGACATTTTACTAAGGGCTGAGTGCAATGTCAGCCAGGGAAATGGGTTCATTTGAGTGGGTTGGTCATGTGATCATTTAGGTCAAAGGTCGGTTTCACAATTCAAAACATTTCAAGGTTACCGTCACCTACCCAGTAGCGTTTTCTAGTGTACTGCCTTTGAATAACATTCTTGCATACAACTAGTTTGACAGCCTACTTTATGGCTGTGCAGTTCAGGCATGGTTGAATAGTATGTGGGTGTCACTGGGAAATGCACGCTGAATTTCTTTTATTGCTTTAGAGTTAGGATTAATGTTTTAAGACAATCATGTTGGATATATTTAAAATATAAGGACAGAAGAGTGTATGTTAGCAAGCTGAAAATTAATAATCATTGATACAGTGATAACAATTTTCTGACATTATGAACATTTGATAATTTTAATTGTTAATCATAAACCATTTTAAAATCTTGTATTTGTCCTTTATGTATTAAAATGGGCAATGCTGGCAGAAGTAAGAGTGATAATTATGCCTGACAGTGTTGCCAGACAATGATCACTGACATTGATGACTGACAGTGATGCCTGACAGTGTTGCCTGACAGTGATGCCAGACAATGATCACTGACATTGATGACTGACAGTGATGCCTGACAGTGTTGCCTGACAGTGATGCCAGACAATGATCACTGACATTGATGACTGACAGTGATGCCTGACAGTGTTGCCTGACAGTGATGCCAGACAATGATCACTGACATTGATGACTGACATTGATGCCTGACAGTGATGCCTGACAGTGATGCCAGACAATGATCACTGACATTGATGACTGACAGTGATGCCTGACAGTGTTGCCTGACAGTGATGCCAGACAATGATCACTGACATTGATGACTGACATTGATGCCTGACAGTGATGACTGACAGTGATGCCAGACAATGATCAATGACATTGATGACTGACAGTGATGCCTGACAGTGATGCCAGACAATGATCACTGACATTGATGACTGACAGTGATGCCTGACAGTGATGCCTGACAGTGATGCCAGACAATGATCACTGACATTGATGACTGACAGTGATGACTGACAGTGCTGCCTGACAGCGATGACTGACAGCGATGACTGACAGCGATGCCTGACAGTGATTCCTGACAGCGATGCCTGACAGCGATGCCTGACAGCGATGCCTGACAGCGATGCCTGACAGTGATGCCTGACAGTGATGCCTGACAGAGATGCCTGACAGCGATGCTTGACAGTGATGCCTGACAGCGATGACTGAAAGCGATGCCTGACAGTAATGCCTGACAGTGATGCCTGACAGTGATGCCTGACAGCGATGCCTGAC